ACCAGCAAGGCTTGATTAGACCGAAGGAGAACCAAAAATAAAACAACAACCATGCAACAATGATGAATTCAACTTTCCGACACTGGTCAAAGTCAAAACTATTAAACAGGGATCCACAACTCTGCCCTTCCAGGAGGCTCAACAGCAGGGACAAAGCCTATAGTAGAGTACAAATATCAGTGGATGTGTGTTTTCGGCGTCTGTACTGATACCAAGGGGGCCAAATGGCAGACATCCAGAGCTCAGCGCTAATGGCTGTGAGCATGCTCATACATGCAAGGTAAGCAAGGGTGGGCACAGTGAACAAAAAAGTTGGATGTGGAAGGAGATAGAGTGGAAGAAGAAAAGGACTGCCTTTAGGAAAAACAGGATGTGAGAGCAGAGGAAGAGAAAATTCGCCCCAGCCAGATTGAGGATGTAGACAGAGAAGGCATCTCTACCCATACGGAAGCCCAGAAGCCACAGCACTGTAGTGTTTCCTGCCAGCCCAACCAGGGCAATAATAAAGGAAAGCAGTGTAGTGGTTCGGGATATGATGTCACAAAATGAAGCTTCAGAGTAGTTGCCTGCATGCTGTGCTCTGTCAGCCTCCCAGCCTGCGGTGCTTGAATCCATGCTTGGGAGCTCTCCACTAGTGTCCCTGGAAAGAAAAACAAGACATGAGCACATGCCATGCACTCTCTGAATCTCAGGGCCACCCTGCTATGTGGAATGATTGCCTTGTTCATAAGAAGGGGAAACAGGATTGAGGATAGAAAGCAATTTATCAAAACCAGTATTTCTGGAACCTTTTTAAAATTCAGCTTGTATTTATTTGGGCTATCTACTCCCCATGACATGTACTGTTACAAGAGTAGTTGATACTGTAGTGTAGACACGCATGCAGCGTCTCAGTCTGTGACAAGAAGTTTGAATTAAAATGGTCCTCATAGACTCATATGTTGGAAGTGTGGCCACCAGTTGGTGGGACCGTTTTGGAAAGGGTGAGGAGCCTACACCAGCCCCACTTTCCTTCTCTGTCTCTGCTTGTAACTTTCAGATAAGATCCAAGCTCTAAGATACTGCTCCAGAATCATGCCCAGCTGCTTAGCACCCATCCACGATGGCCATGAATTCATCCTCTGTAACTGTAAGCAAGGCCCAGTTATATGCTTTCCTCTATAAGTGCCCTTTGTCAGAGTGTCTCATCATAGCAATAGAAAAGTAACTAAGAAAGACCCCCAAGTTCTCACTGTCCTGAGGCTGATTCATCTCAGCTGCAGGAACTTGGAAACCAGAACCATGTCAGATTGATGCTCTTAGTTTTGGAGGGGGTTATAGGAGGCTATCAAGTGGGAAAACATGGAGATAATGAACGAGAGATATGAAGGGAATGCCAAGTCTTATTATGACCAGTATGAAAAAAAAACAGACCTATAGGCTAATGTGACCCAGTCTCCATTTCATATTTGAAACTAGAAAACAAAATTGCAATTTTCTGACATCTGTTGTTATATCACAAGTATCCATCTCTCTACAGGTATATAATGAGTAGATGACAACTTTCACTAGATGAATAAATGAATCGCAAATCCAAGATTATCTTTTAAATTTAGTGTAAATGTTCTGCAAATATTTTAGAGCAAATTTAGTAGCATAAAACACACAGAAAACTAGAAACAATCACTGCCAATGTTTCTGTCAGTCCTTTTAGTAAATGTTATAGGTTGAATCCAGAAAAAAACGATTTTCTGAAATAAAGCAGGGATTTCCCTTGATCAACAGAAAGATATAGACATTGAAACAGATAGGCATTGCAAATGGACTTGAATAGACAAGAACTCATCAATCAAACTGAAGTGACAAGTTTCAGAAGCAGATGACACATTAAGAATTCTGAAACTTGGGCTGGAGAGATGGCTCAGCCGTAAAAGGCTAGGCTCACAACCAAAAAATATAAGAATTCTGAAAGTTGTCACTACAGTTTCAAAGTCTTCCGTTTCAAAGCATCCTTTCCCTTCCTTCCCCATTCACATACGTCTGTAACCAAACATCTGAAAGGGGCACAAATGAACCCTTTTCCAAGAGGCCATCATCTACTAACTAGACCCAATTTGCTGAATTGACTACTAAGACATAAATCATTTGATTTTGCTGACTTCTTCCAATCTCCATATTTTACTTGAAATTATAAAGTCCACCTCACTGGCCACTTTCCATCCACTAGTCCTCACCACTCATCTCTCCTTGCCCACTAGGGAAATGTTCTTTTGATACCTGTGGTCATCTGTCCAAAGGATACTCCATCATCAAGGGCACTTGCTCAACAACATTCATACTAGCATTATTCGTAATATTCAGAACCTGTAAGCTACCTACATACCCCTCAACTAAAGAATGGATAAAGAAAATATGGTACATTCACACAACAGAGTATCACTCAGCTGCAAAAAAAATCAATGACATCATGAAAAGTTGAGGCAAATGAAGGAACTAGAAAATATCATCCTGAGTGAGGTAACTCAGACAAGAAAGAAAACATTGTATGTACTCATTCATAAGTGGATATTATATGTAAAGCAAAGGATAACCAGACTAAAGTCCACAGCTCCAGAGAAGCTACATAACAATGAGGTAACAATGAGTACCCTAACAGGGACACATTGATTGCCCTGAGAAGCGAAATTAGATGAGATTTCACAGGTAAACTGGGGTCAGTAAAGGGGAGAGAATAGGAGATAAGAACATGAGGGAACAGGATGTTTGAGAGGGGTGGAACCAGGAGAGAGAGAGAGAGAGAGAGAGAAAGAGAGAGAGAGAGAGAGAGAGAGAGAGAGAGAGAGAGAGAGAGAGAGAGAGAGAGAGAGCACACAAGACAAGGAAAGAGATACCTTGATAGAGATAACCAATGTAGCATCAAGGAGAAACCTGGTGCTAGGGAAATCCCCAAGAATCCACAAGGATGACTGCAGCTAAGATTCCCAGCAATAGTGGTGTGGGTGCCTGAACTGGCCTTCCCCTATAATCAGATTAGTTAATACCCTGATTATCATCATAGAGCCTTCATTTCATAACTGATGAAGCCAGATGCAGATACACACCAATCACCAGGCCAAACTCCAGGAATCCAGTTGAAGGAGAGGTCAAAATAATGATGGAGAAATCTACAGAGACAGATGAACTAAGCTCTGAATCAACAGCTGTGGAGGCTCTGTGGGACCAAACTAGGCCCTCCTTATGTGGAAGACAGCTGTGAAGCCTTAGCTATCTGAGGGACCCCTGGTAGTAGGACAGTATCTATTCCTGTCGCATGAGTTAGCTTGTTGGATGGAACCAATTCCCTATGAGGTAATGCCATACTCAGCCTTAATGCGGGAAGGGTTTGGTCATGCCCCAACTTAATGTGCCAGACTTTGTCATCTCCCCCTGGGAGCCCTTACCTGTTGAGAGGAGTAGATGGGGGTAGCCTAGGGGGCATGTAAGGGAGGAGAGGAAGGGTGGGAGGGAGAACTTTGGGTGAAATGTAAAATGAAATAGAAAATAAATAATAAATAAAATGTTCTTTTAATCTCTTTGACTGCCGGAACATGCTATGCCTTCCTGTGCATCCATCATGTGGAAAGGTCTTTCCTCTCATTGGCTCACTGGATTCTGCTGTATGCTTCTCTACTGTGATTTGGAGCCTCTATCTGCTAAGGCACTTATCTGTCTCCCTCTATCGGGATCCTCCTTCTGATGGAGTTCCTGTTTGCAGTCTTGTTCTCTAAGCCTCTCACATTTTCCTATTCTCTGTTCTTTTGAAAGATGTAGACTTTCCTGCTTGCTCTATCTCTCATCTCACTCCGGAAGTACTATGGGTTAGCCCCGATTGTTAACAGATTCCAGAGAGAATGCAAGGAGTAGGCAAGGATTGAGCCAAGCCATGGTGGTCACGAAAAACTTGCAACCTGACTGGCTGACTAGCAGTAAGAATACTTCTTTATTTACATCAGAATGCAGTAAGCAGGGATGGATTCATGTTGTTCCAAAACATAGATCATATAATTTCTATTTCTGGACATGTGTTACCTTTATCTTGTATTATCTTTTAGTCATTGGTAAACCATGACAGAAAAGTTATCTATTTGTTGTTGTTGTTGTTGTTGTTGTTGTTGTTCTGAGCTTAGCCTTTAATGGCTGAGCCATCTCTACAGTCCTAAGAGCAGTTATATTTTACAATCATTTTTACTCATCAATCCCATAACCCAACTTTTAGGAATCCAGTGACATATGAAAGCTTATTTTCAGACTGGCAGATAATGCATCTGCAAGAATGTTAGATAGAAACAAAATCTCCAAGCTAGTCAGGGTAGATTGCCAAGTGCTGAGCAGTGTATTGTTAGTGGTCAGTATGTCCAAGAAAAATCCTCAGTCCAAAGCTACTGAAGTTATAATTCAATTTATATTACAATATAGTGTTTACATTTTATTGCTTTATAGAATTTGTTTTATATATCTAATCTGGCATTCTTTTGCTCCTTTGTCATATAAGACCACAATAACCCTGCATGAATTAAATTTCATAAGAAAAGGGAGGTTCTGATGCCACATTACTGTATCATTTTCCATATCACTTTCTGTTCATCTTATTGATGGATTTTGTGTATGGCAGAGATAATTCTGGCTAATCTAACTTTGTTGCTATGTCTTTTCCTCTAGGGTACCACATGTAGTCCTCAATCTTATCTGTCACATATTCGCCTGAGTATATAGTGTGAAGAGACTTGTAATATGATCTGCTGCCAAAACTTCCAGCCATCTTGTTTACCATTTAGAGTTTACTTTCTTTTAATTATCTTGTTCCTGAATAAGTACAGAGACATCTCAGAGCCTCATACAGTGAAACCTCCAAGGTGTAAGGAAGACTTTCAAGTAGATAAGGATGTCTCCTTAAAAGAAGGAGGGTAGTATTCTCCTGGCATAGCTTGGGGCCATTACTCCTTGGAGAAGGTGTAAATGATTCATAAAAAATTCTGTCAATCAAATATCCCCAATATGTAAAAATATTAAAGGCTCCCAAATATGCAACACAGAGAGATATAAACCAAAAGTTTCATGGCTACTATCATGTGGCTCAACTTTGCTGGCTCTTTGTTAAGCAATTGTGTTGGCTTTATGACTTTTGCCCTTCCCATAAGATATGACTGCAGGACTGGAGCTTACTCCACCATAGAGTGTAGGCTCTAACAAACTAGCTCATGTACCAGGTTTGTATTGATATCTTGCTATCAAGGACCCCCCTGCTTGTCCAAACTTCACAACTATCTCCCACATATGAAGGACCTATCACAGTCCCCTGATGTCTCCGCAGTTGTAGGTCTACAGTCCATGAGTTTCCACAAATTTGGTTTGTTGTCCATGTAGATTTCTCCACCAAGAACTTGAGTTTCCTTGCTCATATGTTTCCTCCACCCTCTCTTTGCCTGCATTCCCAGAGCTCAGACTGTTTCTTAGCTGTGGATCTCTGCATCTGGTTACGTAATTTACTGGATGAGGACTCTATGATGATAGTTGGGGTATTCATCAATTTGACTAAAGGGGTAGAAGAGTCAGGAATCCTCTCTACTATTGCTCGGAGTCTTAGTTGGGGTCCTACT